ATTGGAGGCTTAGCCAAGCGCTAAATACCCTCAACATGTTTTTGCAGCATTGAGCAATGTAACCAATCACAGACATATCTGCTGATTTCTTGAACGCAATGGCCAATCAGAAACGTTTTGTCAGAATTCACTCACCGCTGAAAGCGCCGCAGTTTTTAAGTGCAGTTTTGCAGTTTTGCATGCTCATGAATCATCGGTTTTTTTTTTGTTTTTTGACAAGTAAAGTTATGGCTTCAAATGTTGCCATAGCAAGCTCTTTTCACGATTTCCTCAAATGTAAAAATCTAGTTTTAACACGATGACTTGCGTTCATCTTTTTGTTAGCATCAGCAGCACACCGGCTGGGATATGAGCAGTGATATCCTGGGCATATTGAAACCACTTCCAGTCGGCTTGAAAATGAAATTATTCGCTGATGCGATGACAAGCGCAGCATCGTTTTATTGCCTTCACAAGTCTCGGATTGTTGGCGGGTATGACACGGAAAAACTCTCTCCCTGTCACCCTCCAGTCATAAGCGACTCCTCTAATGAGGCAAGCAGGCCAATGAGTGGGCCGAAGCCACTGAAACCTCCAGTTCTATCAAATCAACTGGTGTGAGGAGAACGTATCTGGCGCCGATGTCTGACTTCTCACCTCGTCCCAGACTGAGTCCTCATTGAGTCCTTGTAGACATGGCTGCTAGACACAGATTCACACCCACATACTCAACTAACAGCTCTATTCACAGAGGAAGACTAGAGCCAATGTGTGTTTGCACACACAAGCCTGCTAACAGTTTGTGGAAATAGAAATGCTGTGACCATGAAAATGAATGAAGATTTTCAATCACTGCTACTTTTATGATCTCTTCTTTTTTGCACGCTCGTGAATCATCTCATGACTAAGTGCAGACGCGATGTAAATAAGAGATTCATTGTGCAGTTTAGAGAGCTTCATTGATTATAACGGAACTTTGTAAGATCGCGATGAGCGAAGATGAGTGACGCTTTTTAGTGATAAAGGGAGTGTGCTTTGCGCACTTTCTAGGGTATAATCTATTCAGAATTTGTATGAAACTTTCGTTTTTTGCACACATAGGCTACACCCTGCAAAGTTTCAGGAATGACATCCGCATATTTATGCGGGATTCACTCTCGAAATAGCAGTGATTGGCAACGGACGTAACATATACAGTGGGTACGGAAAGTATTCAGACCCCCTTAAATTTTTCACTCTTTGTTATATTGCAGCCATTTGCTAAAATCATTTAAGTTAATTTTTTTTCCTCATTAATG